TCCGTTTGTGCCTTTGAAATTTATTCGTGAAAATAACTCCAAGATATCCACTAAGAAGAAATTGTATTTGTCTACTTCTCTTTGTTTTTTTGTATGTTTAGCAAATATTAAACTAACAGTAATGCCGTATTCAGCGTTTGGCTTAAACATGGCGAATGTAAAATTAAGAAACAAAACGATGTGTAGAGAGATGATCCAAACGGTTTCAAAAATCTTTACAGCATCTGTAGAGAATATATATATATATATATATATATATATATATATATATATATATATATATATACACATCTATCTATCTATCTATCTATCTATCTATCTATCTGTATTCAGACTTGCGTGGGACAACAAATTTGCGCAACTCTAAGTTCGCTAATACTGAAGAAATTAAAATGTAATAATAGAAGTAGATAGGTTCGTCTATCGTCGCCAGTTCCCTCTCTTCGCTTGTCTTTTATCCCTTGTTTCCTGTTTGGGATTGCGTTTCCGGCTCCTCCTAAACTCTTTTCATTCTCTTTTACTCCCAGCAGCCTCTTGACGCTACTATCGTCTTTTATGGGCAGAAATGATTAAAAAAAAAAAAAAAAAAAAAGAAGAAAACGAAATTAAAAAAAACTAAACAAAAAATAAAAAGCAACAAATAAACAACCTAAAAACCACCATGCCCACCCAGCTTACTATCTGTTATTTTCCTCCGATTGATTTACAAGAATAACCACCCGCTTCTGTCATTAGACGTTAGAATCCTGACGTCGATATATGCAAAAGTATCCTAAAAATTTCTTGGCCTAAACCACTTCCCAAAATTTTATCAAATGACCGCATAGTTTATCTTTGATGTAGAAATCTGTTTTTTATTCATAAGTCTAAGCTCTTTTTATTTATTACTTAATATTAAAGAAACAAAGACACAAGATCAGGAAGAGACAGTTGAAAATTCTCGGACACATAAAGAAAAAAAAGAGGTCTTGCAGAATTTGACACTCACAGGACATTTCGAAGGCAGTTGAACAGTTTATATTTGTATTGTATGAATCTTATATATAAAATGTATATATACCGGGTGTAACAGCAAAATTGTCCAAATCCTGTAACAGCAAAATTATCCAATTGTTAGATTTAGCTCTGCACCGTTGTATCTTGGAAATGATTAAAGATATCTTATTTTCCGGAGGTTTTGTAACACAATTGGACACTACTTTGAGCAATAAGAATCTATAATTACTCTCCCAGGTTAACAGAAGAATCGTGATGAAATCGATCATAAACGAAAATGATATGTTCATCAATAATTAATCATAGCTAAGGATCGGAAGTTCATGAAGGATTGAAATGAAGTTCAAATATAAATAAATTATTCCAGGATCATTTTCTCACTTATTCAAGATGATCTTCACCCTCTCTAACTTTCTAACCTTCTGTGCTTGAGTTGGATTTTTTTTCTAATTGATCTCTTTAGCTCTAAATTGAAATGATGACCCCTCTTGATGTTGTATCGCTTTGGTGATGCCTTTTTAGCAAGCCATGGGAAAGTTGTGATGACATCTTGCCTTCACCTTAGGTACTCCAGTTTATTGTTTGAATTAAGTCTGCGTCAAATTGTGACTAAACTGATAAATATTTGAATGTTTCAGTTTAGATACGTTATTTTTACGCGTGTACGATCTTATCTGGGTACGAGTGGTTAAAATGTCCGCATCTCGAACGTTCGATCTCACCATGGACGATTTGTCAAGAAGGTGTCTTCTGGATGCTATCGGCCTCTAGGTTCGATCCCAGCGTATGGCATCTTTGCAATGTGTATGAAAACCATACCACAGGTTGACTGAAGCCTTGTGAGTGAAATTTGACAGATGGCATTATTTGAGAGCCGTCGGTGGTTGTGCTAGCACGAAATCGCAAGTCATCGTGGCTGAGGCTTTGAGTATACTGGCGTTGTTCAGCCTGTTGATTACGCCAGATAATGCGCTCTTTCCCAGAAATAGCTGTAGTATAAACCACAGGTGAGCTTTGTGGTTGTTAAACACAAATTTGCCTCAATAGGTGCCTACAATATGGGACTGCTAGTTATCCCTGTAGATAGGCATATCATCAGTCAGTCATTATTTATTTACTTACGATTGTATGTGTCTGTATGTTATATGTGAATCGTTCAAGGTAGTTTTTATTTCTGTTAAGTTGTTCTAAAAGTAATGCTGCATTTTTGGAGACTGAAGAAAATATTGAAACGTTATTTTCTTTTCAAGAATAAAATTGTTATTATTCGAAAAAAAAAATCCCACCTTGAATCAAATTCTTTCATTCCTTCCTAAAAAGCCGGGGATTCTAGACAAAAGAATATTCTGACAGTGTGGATGTTTTTTTTTTCTCTACTGATCAAATGGAAAGATTAAAATGACTAGCCGGTTAATATACAATGATGTGATAAAATATCTCCACTTACTGATTTGATCTTTTCCCGAACTTATTTAACCGACGGGGTTATTGAATTGTCATTCGGAAAAAATGGCACTTTCTGTTTACCGAATCTGAAAAATTGAGAAAGTAGAAATTTACAGATTAGGAGTTTGAATTCGGTAAGACGAGGTTGAATTCCTCTCGAGATCGTTACATTCATTTTCGCTGAAATACCCTGGGGAAATCAATGAATCCACCTCTTCTCTCCCCAGCTATGGGTTAAATAGCAGCACAGACTAGACTCTTTGGTTGTGGTTGTAAACCAGTAAAGGCAAAACACAACTGAATTCAAAACCGTCTATGGTCTTGGTGGGGTAGATACTTGAACTAAGGTCCGTTTAGACGAGTTGCAGTATAAGCCCCAGGTTAACTGCAGGTGTTGAAGAAACACAAATGGCTTGGGTAGTTCGGCATGCTGGGAATTGCGCAGCCATGTTGAAAATGACAAATCACATTGATTTGCAGTGTGCTTTCCAGTCGAAAGAGCTCTGATGATGATGTAAATTTCTACTTCCCACTTGTCCTGTCTTATTGTAAGAGCTCAAAAAAACAAAAAAAAAACAGAAGTGGCATTTCACTGACTGCTCCTCACAAAGACCTTACAAGGTTGGAGGTTCGATTTAGATGTTGCCAGAGGCTTTCATTCAGAATCCCAGATTATTTAATGAAAAAATAACAGTATTTGCTTCATAGCTAACAAAGAGATAACATGGCTCTTGATGGTTTTACGTTCATTACATTTGAACGGCTTCATATTTCTCTAGTTAGTTTAATACCTAAGATCTCCAAGCTGTTCATACGCACCTTACTTGATTTTATCTTCGTGAAGAAAAAGAAATCGGATGTGACTAAAAATAAAAAAAAAACGATGAAATAAAAATATTCGTGCTAATTTTGTCAGCAGAAAAATACTTCGTCCGTAAATGATAATATGTTTGACTTTTTAGCATCTTTTTTAGCCCTTTTTTCTCGTTTTTACATCTTCCCCTTCTACGCGCAGTGTCCCTTCAGGACATTGACGATCCACAACCTCCTTTGCTTTGTAGCTCATAGCAGCATTTATCCCTTTGCCAACTTTCCAAGTTCATTCTGCCATCCATTGACATAAGGTCGTTAGATAATTAGCCTTCCATATGTCCAGCAAGTGACTAATTTTTCCAAGACCTCTTTCCTCATTATGTGTTCCAGAAATTTCACCTGTCTCTTACTAATTGTTTCCATTTATCATAAGAAAAAAAAACGGTGTACGCAGGTTTGGTTTGTTTTGTTTTACAGCATATCAACCTTAATGGGTTATTTAATGCCGACAAGATTTTTATTGCAGATAAAAATTTTTTCAAAAAGTATTTTTTGGAATATCTTTTCCAAAAAGGTATTACCGTTAATGTTTTTCTAAAAGAGTATTTCTGGCAATAATGTATTACTGGTAATACTTTTTTCTTCAAAAATTTATTGCTGGTAGTAATTTAAAAAAAAAACGTTTTGTTGGTATTAAAAGCTATTTTTACACGTTTTGACCCCATTTTAGGGGTTAAGTATTTGCCCATAGCTGAGACTCTAACAGGTTGGACCTATGAACAACAGCAAAAGAGGTGGTTCCACGTTTCTCAAAACCTCGTGATCAGAGGCCTTGCTGTCGGATATAGTTTATCGTCTTACCCAGGACGCTGATGTAGTTTATCATCATACCCAGGATGGGGTGTACGTAGGTTCGAATCCTGACAGAGAACGCATTTTCTTAAGAAAGAAAAGTAGGCACATTTTCTCAATAAAGAATATGTCCAACCGGCAGGATTTTTCTCGAGTGCGCAAGCCGGTAGACGAAATAATCAGCGTTTAAGAAACGGAACGTCTACTCAAATGCGGGTATCAATTAGAAAAAAAAGAAAAAAAAAACGTTTAAAGTAATAAAAATATGTTTTTTAGGCCATATCCCATCAAGGCGATATGTTTCTCCACAGGTTACCTTTCTTTCCATGACTGGAAATGGGAGTGACTTTCCGTTGTCTTCTGGATGGTTTTGAATTTAGAAGAGGTTTTCCTATTGATTTGCTGCAACTCAAGTATCGTAAGCCAAGTATATCCATAATTAAGATAAGAATAAATTCATCTGCGGCAACAGCAGAGGCATTTCCATCCTAGATGTGACCGGGAAGATTTTCGCACGTATTATGCTTCGCCGTCTTCTTATGTTTCTGACTAAATGAATTCTGCCGGAATCTCACTGTGGCTTCAGACCTGGACATATTACCTTCAACATGATATTCGTCGCTTGTCTACTATTCGAGAAAAAGCAGGGAGCAGCAAAGAGAGATTAATTTTGCTTTCGTTGACCTAAATAAAGCCTTTGATAGGGTCAATCGGGAGGCTCTATGGCATTTGCTTGGCAAATTTGGCTGTCCGCCGACGTTTTTGATTCTTCTACGCCAATTACATTAGGATATTGTCGCTAAAGTATCCGTCGGGGAATCCTCATCAGAACAGTTCCGTGTGCATACAGGAGTTAAACAGGGCTGTGTTCTTGTTCCCGTGCTCTGGTTGCTATGACTCTTCTCCCTCGGTTACATATGGAACCCAACGTTGGAATACGTATCCAAAATCGCTTTGACGGAAGCGTCTTCAATGACCGACGTCTCAAAGCTAAGACTCTGACCACTACCATTCCTGTCTATGAACTGCAATATGCCGACGATGCTGCCATAGTTTCTCATGAGGCATTCTCACTACAACAGTCCTTGACTTCATTGCATCAGGCTTATTCTCGCTTTGGTCTTGATATGAACCCAAATAAAACAGACGTCATTCAAACAGCATTTAAAGCACGTGATCCAGCAGCTCAGTTGCACATTGACAATGTTTCGTTGTCTAATGTTAACTCATTTATCTACCTTGGCAGCGTCATATCCGATAATGGACACATTGATGAAGACATTCCCCGGCGGATAAATCTCACCTCCGATTCCTTCGGATATCTCCGCCTCCGGGTGTCCTTTGATAGCAACCTCCGACTCACCAGGAAAGTCGCTGTCTATCGAGCTGTAGTTGTTTCAACACTGCTCTACGGCTGTGAATGCTGGGCCCTGTATCGCCGACAAATAAAACTGCTTGAGACATACCACATCAGCTGCCATCAACGAATCTTGCGCATTACATGGAGGGAATAATTCCCCCACATCGAGGTTCTTCAACGTGCGGAGGTCGTCAGCATCGAGGCCATCATACAACAGCGCTTTCTGCGTTGGGTTGGGCATGTTGTGTGGATGTTAGATAGTCGCCTCCCCAAAATTGTATTCTATGGAGAGCTTGAGACCGGCAGCCGCCCACGTGGGGTCCCAAAGAAAAGGTTTTGGGACTACTTTAAACGTGTTCTTGTCTCCTGCAATATTGATCCAACACAATTGGAGACTCTTGCAGAGGATAGGGTGGGCTGGCGGTCTTCCTGCGTTACCGGAGTTGCGCACTTGGAGGAGGAGAGCGCTCGAGGGAAGGCGACGCCAGCGTCATCTGCAGTCTGCTAATTCCGCACCAGTCATGTTCTCCTGCCACCTGTGCCCGAGAGCTTTTTGTTCATGGATTGGTCTGCTATCTGATTTGGCAGCCCACACAAGACGGACAGAGATGGATGGACAGCGTCGTCGTCAGCAATGACGGACAGCCTAAGATAAGAAAGAGTGCGAAAATAAATACAACAGTTCTTTTTTTAACTTTTGGTATATATATATATATATATATATATATATATATATATATATATATATATATATATATATATATATGTGAGAACAAATTAAGTATAATTCCACTGTCCGTAACATTTAATTTAAAAGAAGACCAAGTACACAGTTGTGTCAAATATTATTTGTTTTAAATAGTTTGTTTTAATAATTTATTTTAAAATCCTAATATTTAAATATTTAATATTATATATTTTATATCCTAATATCCTAATGGTTTTAAACATTTTGTTTTAATATCCTAAAATAAATGATATATATATATATATGTATATTTGGATATATGAGTGTGTGTGTAAAAATTCTGATAGGTAATATCTGTAAAATGATAATCTGGATGTCTTCCTTTTGTCTTTAATCATATATATATATATACACACACACACACACACACACACACACACACACACACACACATATATATATATATATATATATATATATATATATATATATATATATATATATGCGGTATCACTCAATCACAGCAGTACAGCCAATAAGATGCAAGGAGTTAGATGGTGTGAAAGACTTAGCAAGTGACATTGTATTTAAATTCTTGCAAATTAAAGTTAGCTGGAAGGGACTTTCACAAGCGAGTAGTGCTAGAAAACAAACAGCATAGATGTTATTTCTACATCTAGCGTAGTCAACTGTAAATTGATGAGTTCTTTATTGACTTAATTTCATATAGTCTAGGTACCTCAGCGAAGAACTCAGTCGGCATTTACCATGAAAATATTTATAAAAAAAGCATAGAAAGGCAATATTACGACAATGGGCAGTGACTGCAGTTGAGCCGCCATATCAATAATATTGCTGATTCTTCTTTGGATCTTATCAAGTAGCACCAGGTAAATAGTATGTAAATGGCAGTAATATTCTAAGCATGAACGAATGGTCGACTTACAGATATGCAAGATAGATTCCAGAGAGAAAAATTGTGTCTCTCGCCACAGTGAACCAACTTTCTAAGCAGCTGACTAAGCAATGGATTCAATATAGTCTTTCTACATCATATCAGCTGAGAGGGTTTGCCCAAAGAGGCGTAACGAACCTCTTTTCTAGAGGATAGCATCTGCCATGCCGATGAAAGGCTGATAGATTAATGGAGAGAAGTTTAGTTTTGGAGGTGTTAAAATTGACAAGCCATCTTTTCTGATCAGCTGAAAAATGTGCCCGGAGATATCGTAACTTCTCAGCTTGTGGAGAAGACCTGAATGCCAGACACTATCAAAGGCTTTCGAGATGTCTAATGATACAGCCCGGGCTTCACCGTTTTCATCTAGAGCATGATAGTCTCTTTTCGTTATTATCGCTGGTACATCAGCAGTTGACCGGGAAAATCAAAGCCATATTACTTGCCTGAGAAAAGGCTTAATTCAGCATTGATTAGGGCCTCTACGAGTTTCCCAATAGCCCGATAGTTTGATGGGTTCTACGGTTCACCAGAGTTCTTAAGAACTGGAACAACAGACGATTTCTTCAGCAGGCAGGTAAGCAGAGGGTAGCAAGGCCATTATTATATAGTTTAGAGAGAACAGAAGAGGGGGGGCAATAGAGTTCTTGTACTTATTTAATACTCACCAGTAATCATGAGAGCCAGATTTCTTAGAGGTCATGTAGTGCATCATTCTATCAGTAGCAAATAGGCCCCCCTGTTATGACGAAAGCTTTCAGGCTAGTGTGAACCATGGAAAAGATTGTAGTTGCATCTGATATTTCCGAGAAGGGGGCTAAAAGAATCCATGACGGTTTTTTATCCAAAAGGAGACCTCAATGGTACAATTTGCAATTGGATGGCTGAAGACGTTAGTCTAAGGGGTGTCACAAAGAAAATACCAGAATGAGTCCCAGTCAGCATGCTGGTAACAGAAAGAGGTCTTATGGATAGGGGGTTCCCGTTTAATGGATACTTGGAAGGGTGTATCAAGAACTACCACAGAGTGGTTCGAGTTACCAAAAGGGAAGTACTGCAAAGCTCGGCAAGAGCGAAGAGAGGAGAGGAGGTAAGAAATAGATCTTGTAGAGAAGCCTATTGTTCGGTTTGGCTAGGGAAATGAGTTAAACAGTAGGACTTGTATCAGTAAATCATTATTATTACCCCCAAATTTTAAAATATTTACTAGCTATAAATAGCTTGAAAAGAGTTAATAATTTATAAAAAACAAAGTAATCAATAGAATTAATTATTTTATCATATTAAAATGTAATATACATATTTTATATATAATATTAATATAAAGTATATATATATATATATATATATATATATATATATATATATATATATATATATATGTATGTATATATATATATATATAAACACACATTCGATATATTATATATTTTATTTTATTTACACTATTTGTCGTATAGATATTTATATAAAGAATATTTGATAAAGAATTTATAAAATTAATGCACCTACAGCGTAAAATTTGAAAACATTACACATATTTTTGTTATATATTATTTGATATTTTTATATGAAACACTATATTATAATATTACTATATGGCATTTATATATTATAAATAATATTAATAAAAACTATACAAAAAAAAAACAAAACACAGACACGCACACTTATGTATATAGTGGGGAGAGGGAAGAAATATTCGTATACATACAAATTTTTAATTCATTGTATTTCTAACTAATGAATAAGCATACTTTTCATATAACTACACAGATGTATAATAACTAAATATGCATAGAAAACAAAAAAAATTGATTCAATAGAAATAAATCCCATTTATCTATTTTAATGGGGAAAAACTATTCATACAATGCAAATTTCCGATTTTAAAACTTTTAATTTACTTTAATACATTCAAGTGGAATATTTTTGAATGTTACAATAATGTTATCAGTTGTTATTTTTAGTTTAAAAATACAATCAGAACATTGTGTAAATGATATGCGTGCAAGAAGGTTTTCATCATGGCAAGAGGTAAGGAATTGATAAATTCGCAAAAAGAACTTACTGTTAAGCCCGTGAAAAGAAGGTAAAAGTTACAGGATAATCTCAGACAGTGTGAATGTTCAATTTACTACCATTAGTTCAATTATTGCAAGGTATAAAACCCCCAAAACTGTTGAAAAACAACAAAAAAAAAAGAACAGGTGCTCCATGGAAGATTTGTTCAAGTTCATCGAGAAAATTAATGCGTCAAATTAAACAAAATCCAATGGTTACTCATCAAGAGTTTCAGAATGTTTTGCTTTCATCAGGAATTTGTGTCACTAAACGGACAATAAGTAATGAAATTTATAGGAACAATATGAAGTCACGCTCAGCTCGGTAAACTCTTTTGCTATTGAAAAGGCACAGAGTCGCCAGCTTGAAAGTCTTTCGTGAACATAAGGATAAGGAAAAATCGTATTGGGAAAGATTATTATGGAAAGACGAATCTGAGGACCAGAAGCAAAGAATGGAACAAAACAGAAACTAAAATTTGCAAATCATTGAGAACTACGAGAAGAAGTTGGTTGCTGTAGAAGTGAATAATGGCGATTCTACAAAGTATTAAATGAAGATTATATATTCTTTTTTTGTATTGTACGAATAGTTTTTTCACCCATTAAATGAATAAATGGGATTTATTTCTATTAAATCGAGTATTTTCTGTTTTCTATGCATATTTAGTTATTATGCATCTGCGTACAGTTAGTTTTATGAAAAGTATTTTAATCAATAGTTGTAAATATAATAAATTAAAAATTTGTATGTGTACGAAAAAATTTTCACCATATATATATATATATATGTGTGTGTGTATTTATAGTACAGGCAATAAATCCGTTGTTATATAATCCAGGTGCATCCTAGTAATAAAAATATTAAAACTAAATCACAAAAAGAGCTCAATGTATTATAACAGAGAATATAAATTACATAACAACATTCAAAATTACCTGTTATGAACCCCCACCCATATGAGGTAATTTTTCATTTTGTAGTGTAATATATATATTTTTTATATAATTTCTCATGTGTTCGTATAACTTTTTTCACTGTGCTGATAATGTTTATAAAATAAATCATTCCTATAACTTTAGATACAATCCATCTATTCAGTTGAAATTAAAATAAAATTCATCATTGATAATGGCTAAAGGGAGAGGCTAAAAAGCTTGGCAAACATTTGTACAATTTTTGTATAATTTATGTCCTGAAAAGAAAAGAAATATACGAACACATGAGAAATTATATAAAAAAAACAAATTCAACCACTGCACCTTTTCAGTTGTTTTCAACGAAACTTGCATATATATATATATATATATATATATATATATATATATATATATATATATATATATATATATATATATATATATATATATATATATATATATATATATATATGTTTTGGAGCATCTGTTGTTCAGCTGTCAGTTGGAGGTTTTATTCTTTGTTGTTTTTTTATTTATTTTTGAAAAATCAGTTGTGTGTTTGTATTTATATTTTATAGCTTTCTATTAATCTTGGGTCGTTGTTTTTACTTTTCTTTCCCTTTCGTTGCCTCTACATGGTGTCATTGTCTTTATGACACATATATTTTGTGTTATTGGTAAGTATTTTGCAGATTTCTTGTATTTTGTTATCGTATTGTTTGTTGAAATGCGATTTAATTGATTATCTGATAAATAGCATGTTAATCCATGAGGTAATATGGTGGTTATGCCACCAATGTATGTGCTGTTTGAATTATTATTCTTATTAGAGAGACATGGGCAAGTGAATTCATCGGCAACATGGTATGTTGAATTGTTGCGTTAGTGGTGATTACATTGGAGGTTTTACTTTTTATAGTCAGTAATTAATTTAATGAATTGTTTTTGTCATTAGGTGACATGTATCTATGTATTGGCTTATAAATTTTTTTTATATCTCATTTGTGAGTA